CAATGTTACAGATCAAAACAAAAACCCGTAACAGAATGGACATCGAAGACGATATGAGGTGTTGCTTGTCAACGACAGCTCCGAGAATCAAGATGCTAGCTGAAAGTGTTAAGGTGCAGGTTTCGCATTGGATTTTATCTTACAAAACCAATGTTTCCCATTATTTTAATCAATAAAAGATTTGAATTGTTTTAACTAAAAGGTCCAAATTTTGTGTAGGGTGTTCATTTTGAATTATTCGATATGTGTTTCTACATGGGGGGAGGAGGGATTGCGAACAAGGGGGAATGAAACGGAAATGGTTGGGTGTTCGAACCTGACGTTTGTTTTTTTCCGTGGTGTTTTTTTATCTATAATCGGTTGCTGATCTGGCCATAACCAGGCCCAGGAGACAATTTCTAGGTCCCTATTATTTGCCGCTGAGAAGCTGTTTCGAAGCTAAGTAGAACCTCCACGAGGCGTTCCATCATTCGTCCCATCATTCGTTCCATCATTAGTTCCATCATTCGTTGAGTCGCAGCGTTGAACCTGAGTATTGGCCACGAAAAGGCTTGCCAATGCACATCAAAAATCGACTATTTACATCCGAACATTTGTTTATCTCAAATCGAAGGAAGACATTTCGCGCAACTACCATAAACTGGACTAGTTTATGTTGATCTTCGTCAAGCTTCGTCTACAATTTGGACTTCTACATTAACACATGTCAGGCAGCCTTTAGGTTCAATTGGCTAAACTTGGTAAGTTCGTTCCATTTTATTATTTTTTAGCTTTTCAAACCAGTAACGTTGGGAGATCACCTTTTTGTGGCGCGTTACTGGTATAAGATCTACCACCGAACCCTAGTCGTGACAACTTCAAACTAGGGAATCAGGATTTTCCAGTAATCAAAGGATCACATTTTAGTCCTTGTTACTTTTTATGACTTGACAAGACTCGGGTTCTGCATTTCTATATTGTATATTTCAAATAAAAAATATTGTTTATGTTAATAGATTTCACATGATCCTTTTACCTTTGTCCTTCTCCTTTTCCTTTCCCTCTTCTCTTTTCAGAAAGCGAGTAATGGCGCTATAGCCATAAGTCATAAAAGGCTAGGACAAGAGTTAGTGCTCATACCCCAACCGTCAGAATAAAATGGAGCATCACACCTTTCTAGCTTTGATGCTTCCAACGACCAACCAATCATATAATTACCAAAATCGGAACGTACGGTACGAGATGTCCACGTTTCATCCATTTATTGGATTCTGAAGCATCGTGTTTAAATCATCAATTTAAACAGGCCCGATGTTTTCTGAATCATCTTGCCCCTTAAATGCTGCACAGTAGGCCTGGCCGTTTTAATATGTGTGACGCATCTTCGATGTGAAACATATATCAAATAGACAAGAAAAATGATGTAGGTATATATATCATTTTCCAGGATGCTTTCAAGAACTGGCTGTGTTGGTGTTAGATTAGATTAGATTAGATTAGGGGGAATGAAACGGAAATGGTTGAAAACCACTGATATAGTGGTTCTCAGAATTTCGTAAAAGTTGGTAGTTCTGTTCCTTATCGCAAAATATTAGACCCGTATTTTTTATTTTGTCATTAGGATTACCATTTCCATATTAAGGTGGTCCATGGTCAAAAATTACCCTTTTAAAGAATTTATAAATTTCGAACCACTGGGCCAATTTCAAAGATCAAAAAATCAAATGAAAAGTACCGTAAGAGGAGGTAACAATTGGCCATGAAATCAAAAAAATTGTTCACTACCTTCCAACATTCAAATTTTAGCAAGGAAAACAGTTTGAAGCGTGTAAATATATTCATCAATGATATTTTTTTCCTTTGATTTGTTTTCCGTCGATCTTGTTTTCCGTGCTGAGCACCAATGCTACCAACGCCAGGAAGGCAGCTCCCACACCTGGACCCTACCTATCGACCCATCAAACTCATGGACCGGGGACCAACGGCTGTACTTCCCTTCCGAAGGAAGGCATGATCAGAGGTGTTATGCCTTAGAACATCCCGGCGGCGCCGACTGGGATTGAACCCAGGCCTGCTGGGGTGAGGTGTGATCATGCTCAACCACCGGCGCTGCTCAATGATATATTTACAACTGTCATGGAAATGTAAATCGAAATTGATACCTCATTTTACTAAAATTAAATAAAAAATAGACCTCTGTAAAACCGAAGACTACATATCAAGAAGACTGGCAACTTTTCCTGTCACAGTAGCGCTGAGCTCGAGTGAAGGTGGCAGCAACACATAGAAAAATTAGCAAATTCACAAACCTTTCTTCTCAGGATAGAACTTTTGCTATCCAATTCGTTCGGAGCATTTACCTTTGAGCGGCAGATGACTCGAAATATCCTCGAAAATATCTTCAAATATGTAAACGTAACGTAGCTATTAGGAGTACACTTGGTTATGATCACAATGTACTTCGTATGTATTGGTAAAGATCGCGTGTAACCCTCGTCTATCGACATAAAAGTTTTGTTCATTTTTTTGTTTGCTTGTGGACATTTAAAAAAACGTATTTTGCTACTATTTATGATTTTTAACTTTACAGCACTATTTAAATAAAACAACTGGTCAATTCATTCATAGTGTTTTATGTTACTTCATACGATTTTCATGAGGTTTTCAGAGTTGGTGAGTGTGATAACACATTAGCTAGATAATGGTCTTAGAAGATGGTAGGTAGATAGTTCAATTAGAGTACGGCAGTGTGAAAATTTAATAGAAGTTGAAAATGTGCGAAGGGCCATTAATGCGACAGTGCAAGTCAAATGCACTCTTTGCCTAACCCGTACGATGTACGCGGAGATTTGAAGTATGTATTCAAATCTACAGACAAAAAGTGTGCGCTTGACTTGCTAAAATACTGCCTGCGGCTGTGGAATAGTTCTAGCGACGTTTCATCACTACCTAAAGTCTCACGTTGCCGAAAGCATTTCCTGTCGAGCGTGTGTTATATGTTAAATTTTGGCCCAATGTCACCCCGTCTTACGGTAATTAAAAATACTATTTAGAAAATATAATGATATTAAAAAATTGGAATTTTGTGCTGAAGAGCATTGATTGTATTTGTGTTTTATGGTTTTCATGGTTTGTAGGCAGAGGGCGCAATATGTTTTTTTTTTATATTTTTCCTTGAACATTTAGGCTTTTTTACACAACATATAAAAAATTCACCGATATGTGTGTATTTTTTTGTTTTTGAGTTATATGTTTTTGAAGTTATCAAGTTTTGGGTTTTCACTCAATACTCCTATGCGACTAGACTACCATGCGTCATGACCATGTCACTATAAATCAATGGAAAAGCATGGAAATGGTCACCCTAATGACAAAATAAAGAAATACGGGTCTAATATTTTGCGATAAGGAACAAAACTAATAATTTTTACGAAATTATGAGAACACTATATCGTGTTGCTACGGAATGGCTGTAATTGTGAGGCAAGTACAATCATACTCTATGCCCAGGGAACTTCCCAACCCGAAAAATTCCTAGACCGGACCGGAAATCGAACCCAGCCACCTCCAGCATAGTCTTGCTTGGTAGCTGCACCTTTACCGACTGAGCTAAGGGAGGCCCCATATGTACCGTGATGCACCCGAATTCCAATCAGCGCCTAGTTAACTCCGTTCACGTGGGTCGAAGCGTTGAATATCAAGTCGATTTGTCGCTACCGCTGCGTTGTGAGAAAATTCCGAATGATCTGAACTGAGCATCCGGATCCGGAAAATCTTTACCTCCAGAAGAACTTGTATCATGAACGAAAATTTTCTAGGTTCATTAACTACGTAGACCTACGCGGTCTTTTGGTGGTTGTAAACATTAGGGTATGGTCACGTTCATTATCCAAGTAAAATATCCGTTGAATTTGGTCAGCACCTGGTCATAAAGCTTAGGGGTTCGATTCATTTGTTTGCTGACTGAAAGCCTTCCCAGAAATCACTTTGCCAATGATACTGTGGGCGGGCTGCACCGAAGTTTGAATTAGGTTGATTCCACTAATGTGAAGTTCCAGGTCAAATAGCGAAAAAATAATCAAATTTTAGATTTCACCTCTCAGCATTCCATGGAACATCGCATAATCGATCGCAAGGGGTCATGAACCAATTTTGTGCTGAAATGCGGCCATAGGTTAACTTTTCAATATGGCGTCTTCAATATTTTTCGAAAACGGCTCATCTAATCGAAATGGCGTCTGAGACAATGTAGTGGGAAACTGGTTTGTTTTTTTCAAAAATAAATACACACTTAAAAATATCTAAACTTTTCGTCAAAAAAAAAAAAAAAATAAAAAGCTGTTAAATATTTAAATAACAAAAAAGCGCATTTTTAAGATTTTTAAAATTATGTTTATTTGAAAGCATATCAAAAATGATAAATGGACACAATGGACACTTCAAAATTGACCAAAATCGTAAAACATAAACTTTTAGTCCAAATTTTGAACTTTTTATCACGCAATATTTATGTGATTTGTACATGAGAAACGATTTTCTGGACTAAACAAATATGCTTTCTGAATAAGAAACTGTAAAAATTAATTATAGTAAAAAAAATGCAAAATGTGATAAAGAGACAAGGACAGGTTTAATGCTTCAGTTGTAGCAAAATGTGCATCCAAAATGATCAAGTAGTAGCATATGTGGGTCAACCATGTAAATAAACAACACCCAAACGAGTATATTAAATTCTCATTCTGAAATATGAGAAAATGCACCCGAACAATAGTTCTGCTCTTGTTATCTGTAATAACTCGTTAACATGTAACAAGATACAGTGAAACTAGTAAACAACCAAACTAGGATAGTGGGTGGCGTTTGCGTAAACATAATTAGGTTAATCTTGATACACACGTCTAGTTAAAACCTTAAATGACCAACCACTTCACTCAACAAATGGTTTGAATTGCTTCACCACTTGTCTGTTATATAGCTATATCAGCTGACATCATGCATTATTTGAAAACGTTCAAACCTACCTGATGAAACACTCCTTCGGTTGTCGAGTTGAATTTCTCGTCGTCGGCTTCCTCTTTCTGCTGCAAATACTGCGCATCCAGTTCCACTAGCTTCCCATCCATGTAGAACGAAGCCAAAACAGTCGATTCCAGAAGCTCTTCCGTTTGATCCTTTGCTTCCGAGGAATCGTTCGTCAATGCTCGACCTGATGGCAGCGAGTCTAGCTTTTGCACTTCACTTTGACCGTTCAAACTTTCTTTGCTACCCCTACTGGCGGTGACTGCCAGCCTGACTGAGCCATGCTGGTATTCGGCCGGTTGCAGCTGCGTTTCGATGACGGTATCACCCGCGAGGGGAGACTTTGCACTGCTGTTGAGGTAAATAATTTGCACAGTGTTGGTGGTTATTGACGGTTTAGCAAAATATATTTCCCGGAAGAAACATGTTACTGATTCTAAGAAGATTGGAATTTGTAATTGATTCTGTAATTGATAAATGATTCTTGGACTTCGGACCGCAGTTTGGAACATCTATAGTTCTGTTACACAATAAACTATGTCATTTTTTTGAATTGTTATTTTGAGAATGCTTTGCAAACCTAGAACAAATTAATTTGTGGATATTTCAAACTAATTTTTGATTTGGAACTGTTTTTGAAAATTCCGACTCAGGATAAACTTTAATTTTTTTGTTTGGAATGTTCAAAATTTCAATATTTCACAATACTTGAAGCGTGCGATTTCCAGTCTCTATACATTTTTGGGCCTGTTGCAGTGAATGTAAAATTTGTTCAAACTTGTCTCTTAAAATCTGAGTTTGGGAGTTCCTCAACACAATCTAATATAAATTTGAAAAACCATGATCTTTGTTAAATTTGTTGAATTCAACATCCTAGATTTTTTTAACCGCCTCAAACTTTGAAAAGAATTTTTAAAATTTTCTACTTGTGAAATGTTTGACCATAATCCTCAGAAAATCTGATGATTTACGGATGTATTTGCATCCAGGTCCTCGTTCAAACTATTTTTGAATGTATTGGACTTAATCATGCTAGTCGAAATAATTGTAAATGTGTTGTCCTCTGATGTTATGTGCTTACGATTGTAGCATTAAACATCAAGTTAACATTTTTCAAACCAAATTTAGTGCTCTTGTAATTTCTCTGCTGCCGCCTTAGAATTCCCTTCCCACTTTCTTCGTCCAGATGTTCGACTTCACGGACGGCACTCAGAGATCGCCTCTCGTATCACTTCGCTTTAAATTTAGCTCACAAAATCATCTGGCCCATTTCCCAAAATTATGTCATTGCCATCGTTTTATCTATACGAGCGCGATTCTGGTGTTCTCGATTCGGTACACGCACGTATACATTGTGCATATAGACCTGTGATGCCACCCATCCCACACTGTCGGTCTTTGACGTTCGGGGACGTCTCTAAGGTTATTCTCTTCGTCCACATATCACTTTCATTCGCACTCGAAATGGTATTGGGACCTTTTTACGCTTCTGCCCCTCGTTTATGTATTATCCTTCCAGAAAGGACCGATCCATGTGTGGGCTGCTAACGTTCGTTGACCTTTGGCTATATTTACACATGCCTGTATGTACTTCCACTCTGCATCATTAACCACACCTATCGACTATTTACCTTTTATCGAACTTCATTTTGGTTTCTTCTTACTAAACTTGCACACTGCCGTACATAATTTCTTTGTAGACAATTCACTTCACCGAACAAGCTGGCACTTCAGTCTCTCAATCAATCAAACACTCAATATCGCCAGTGAAAAATCGCAAAGATCACGCGCACCCACTTCGACGTCGTCGTTGGAGGGTCTTATCAGTACAGCAGTCCAGCAGCGAATGTCCACTGGCCGCTAGAATCGATTTGGTATATATATTTTATCCGGTTGTGGTGTGGACTTGCACTTTCAACGACTCCGTGATGATGTTCGCGCGTGAGGCGACTGATATGCCTCGCAGTCTCGTGCCAGTTTCGGTGGATGCTGGTGGTGACGTGATAGTCATCGATTCATTCGAGAGAGAACTATGACGTCGCTGTTCTGTGAGCGACGAGTGAGAAATTTTCATTCGTGAGAGCGTGATTGCGAGAGTAACTCTCTGTTTTTGTTTTGGTTGGAAGCGATAGCGAAACCATCAACAAGCGAAACAGGTTCCAACAGCTGACTTGTGTAGCAGTAGTCGTGTCATCGAGCGTATGACCCTTTCGGTACCCGATGTCTTTGGTTGGCTTCTCAAGAGTATACATACTCTTTTTGAAAATCTTTTCCAATGTTCTACGAAAACCATGCACTTTTTCAGTGTTCTTATTGCACCTTAAACATCCATCCATCTTGAAGATGAATGAGAAAGATTTGGAATTACGGTTATGTGAAATTGTTGAAAGATAGAAGTCTGATGCGCAGAGGGGCTGGCAAAATCGGGTCATTACTGTATTGCGAAATTTTACTGCACTTAGATTCGATCGACATTAAGGTGCAAATCAGATTGGATTTAGCCTTTGTATGTATAAGTATGCATAAATGATTTGAACGTATGTATTGGTTTTGGTGCAGGTGTACCAATACATACAGTAAATTAGTGTTTCTCTTTATAAAGGGGGGAAGTATTGTAATTTTGCAGTTTTAAGTTTAACTATATTTTTTTCTAAAAACTTCAGGGCAAGTGTAAACTTCAGATTCAAATAAATTCATACATGTAAGGGGTCATGTACTTATTACGTAAGGGTTTATTATTTATCGGGGGAATTGAGTTCAGCATTTTCTTATTTTTCAAAATTGCATTATTTACCGTCGATTTCCGTCGATCTTGTTTTCCGTACTGCTACCAATGGGGGGGGGGGGGTATGGAAATCTAACTCATGACCATCCACTTGAGAAGCAAACGTGTAGCCAACTACGCCACGGGACCCCCCTCTGTGTACTTATATCTCAGATTTGTTAGAGAAAAAAGGGTTGAAAAAAAAACTTAAAATAGAGTTGTTAATGGACGGGTCCTAACTGATAGGAATAAGTATTTAGTTTACATGACACACCGAACACCATAGCACAACTTCAAGTTTTCGGTTATGGTCTAATCTATAATTTGTGGATCCGAAGTTCCGAAAGAAGCAGCAATTTCAATAATGCTCCTTCGACGATATTGATATGTTTGATGAGAGAACAGATAATAATGGTATTTTTTTGTGTATAAGCTTGTTCAATATGTGATTTTCAGATAATATTTACTCTTTATTTCAAAATCACTGAGATTGCATCTTATCCGGCCATAAAGTTTATTCGGTAGTTTTTTATCAACTCAAATAAATACATAGCTATCAATACACAGACCATCAAAAAAAATATACACACACTTAAAACGTTCGTAAATATCAGCATTTAATAAAAGTGTCATCTTCGACAACTTTTAGTGACTGCTACAGAACGGACTTGCCATGAATCTTGGTAAAATATCAACGATGGTTTTTTCGCAATTATGATTCAGCTACTTATTGTAGAGGAGTAAAATTATTAAAGAAATATAATTTTCAATCTCTGTTCTTGCGGAACAATATAGAAAAAGTATTTTGGAGAGTACTCGGGATTTTTTTTGCTTCCAAGGTTTTCAGGAAAACATATTATTTTGGAAAACGGCATTCATTGTGGTCTCTCCTTAATTGTAATTTGACAACACAGGGAAATCGGCATCAATAAAACTATAATTAAGAATTATGTATGACATACCTTCATCCTTTTCATTTCTGTCATCATCATGCACATGCCGTATATTTTCTTCATTTTCCTCGGCCATTTTAACACATTCAAAAGCACTGCCTATCGTTTCCATATTGTCAAACAAATCCATCTTTTCAATATCCCCGAGAGAGAAGTTCTGCAGCTCACTGCATGTGGAAGCATTAAAAGTTTCCCATACACTTCCGAAACCAAACGCGCAGGTCTCATTACCGGTTTCGATCATCTGAACATCATCTTCCTCGACATTGGCATCTTTAACCTTAAGAAAACACTCAAATTCACTGCCCTCACTATTGACCGAACATGCTGAATCAGATTCAGAGAGAAAGTTCAGAATCTCTTCAAACTCCTCATCGCTTTCCGGTTCCGGTTCTGGATTATACATCGCCACGCTTTCACATACTGGATTCCTGTTTTTACGCTTTAAAGCTTCGCGTTTTAAAGCCGCCTTTTTTGCCTTCGTTAAATGCGGCATTTTTATCGCTGATTTAAAAACTGCACCCAGAACACGAAGAAGTTACGCACGAATTGAGCATAATTTTTGCATACATTAGTCAGCTGGCAGTGCTGCCAAAAGCAAGTTTAGTATTTAGTTATAATATCTGTTAGTACTCGACATTATCATTTACGAAGTAGAAATGCATTATTACGCGTAATAAGCCATCGCAATCAATATTTCTTTCAATTTTAACGCAATCCTCACGCAACATTCATTTGAGAATTGATGTTTTATTTTGAATTCGGTGAAACGATTCTAGCAACCTTGTGAATCAGCACAACTGAAAATAAACACACACACCCTCTCCGACTGTGCCAACAAAACAAGACTGGTCATGTGTTTTTTTTTGTCCCTTTCTCACTGATGTTCGGCAATGATGATGACGTAAAACATTTTGCATTTTAAGAGTGCGAGTGTAAAAGAAACAACAAGCCTGACAGCCAGACCAATGCATAGAGAATTGAACAACAGGAAAGTGCTAGTACGGCGCCGGGGGGAAGCTCTCGACGTTTCCAAATTTTCGCAAAGTTCGTTTGGTGAAGTTTTCGCGATTTTGTGCTCGTCGCCGCGGATTTTTTAACGTTTTTATAATAGTTGAGTCATAGACCAACAAAGTGAAGCCGTGTACAAGAGCGGAAAGTGTTGTGAAACATAAAAAAATTAGCAATGAACCAAAACATTGCTTTTTTGGAGTGTGTTAGTGTAGTGTAGTGAGAGGGTGTGCGTTGGCGGCCCAAAATAAAATCAAAGCGCGCCTCAATTGAAATGGGCAGCTTTTTTAATCGTAAAAGGTTAAAACTCAGATTCATGTGAGCGGTATAACAAGGTAAGTGTTTCAAGTTTTTGTTAATGGTATTCCCAATTTTCACTGTGTGCCGGAATCCACGTAAAAATGGGTAATTCAGTAGTGTCTCTTAAACACACATACACTCGCAAGTATGAGTTTGTATGTAGTTGAATTTTTTGAACTGAATTCCACCTTAATATCGTCGTTTGCAATATTTCAAGAGCAAATTTTCATTACGTCGAAAGTAACAAAGGTAAACAAAGTCGATCTATCAGTGTCAATCGATGCTCCTGCTATTACGCTGTATACTGTCCGAATATAGGATCACATCCCATTTTTAAATTTATTTACCAGTCAAATTGCTTTTTGACGTAATCACCTTCCGATCGAAATATTTTTCGATGTTACAGAAGTCACCCGATTTCTATGGGGATGCCGTTTGTCTCAAGTAACAGCGCAGGGAAACCCGTAAAAAGTGTACGTTCGTCGTTTTGCTTTCTCATTACTAAAGTGAATAAATCGAAATGTTTGTTGCTAAGATGGTTTCGGTGGTCCTAAAATGATGAATGGGCTGCACGTAAGGAGACGTGATTGATAATTCTCCCGAATATCCTGGTTAATATACTTTAACTTAAGTAACATTAGGGGGCCACCAAACGACGTATTATCACTTTTTACTCAAAGACCAGTATTTTGACGCAGGACTACGTCTGTGATTTATATATGAGGGTACACTTTGTGAAAACCGAAAATGGAACATGTAACAAAATTATGGAAGATTTTGAACATTAATAATTCAGCTGCCCCTGGACCAATTTCAATAATTTTATCACCAATCGATCAGAAATATTTCTACGCATCAATAGTGATGCTTCCGACTGATGATTTTCAACAAGAAACTATTGCAAAAGGGGTAATGTCAAGCATTATCCAATGAACAAATAAAAAGTGATAATTTTATCACTGTTTTCATGAAATAAACGTTATTTCCCAACCCAGTCGTTATAATCGAGTACCACTTGGTTGCACGTCATTCTGCTTTAACCTGAAAAGATATAAAAGAGCGCTGCTATCTAGCCTCAACTCATGACTCTTTGCTCGACTGTTGAGCTGTTCAGTTCGTTTTCTTTTTCGCTCGAGTTCTCGCTTCGATTCGGTTTGTGCTGTCGCGTTGCGCCGTGGAAGCGTCGCCACCTTCGCGCGTTCTGGCAAGTTTACTGCAACTTGCCAACACGAAACAAATGGTGCGTAAACGTACCAATGATTCAGCAGCGGGCCCTTCAAAGAAGGTGGTAATCCAGCACATCGCGTCGCAGGATGACGCCGGAAAACGGGTACTGCAAGCCAACCAGTTTGCGGTGCTCCCCGAAGAAAATGGCGATGGTGACGTCGTTCCCATCGCTGCAAGAGAGCGGATTCCCCCGCTTTTCACGCCGGAGAAGGATGTTGCCAAGCTGCGTGCCGAACTGGCAAAACACAAGCTGCTGCCTCGCTTCAAGCTTTGCAGCATCGGCACCAAAATCATGTGCTCCAGCCTGGAGGAGTACAATCAAACAGGATGTTTCCTAAAGGAAAACAACGTTGACTTCTTCACGCACGATCTGCCATCGAGCAAGCCACTGAAGCTGGTATTGCGTGGATTACCGTCGTTCGAGGCGGCTGTGGTTAAATCTGAACTGGA